ACAGCCATAACCATGTAGTGCTGCCAACCCATCAAACGACCTTGTGATGCAATGCCGGCGGCCAACGAAGTGCAAAACATGGTTTAAAAACTGTATTTTCTTAAAGAAAGAATGTAAGGTAGGCTCGTACAGTATAATTGGTGCAACAAGCTAAAATTGCAAGTACCATGCCTTGAACCTGAATGGCTGGAATGCATAAATCCCTTTCCACCACTAGGCTATGCCTTAGTTTGCGTTCAAAGACTGTATTAGCTTAGCCAGGCTCTACCAGGCCAAAAGTGCAAGGGGGGCAAAATCTATTTGAGCAACCACCGTACGTTTGTTAAGGGGGCTCCTATCACGCACAGGATTGGGACGATCCATTAGGGACTCAATTGGATGTGGTAGCGATTCAACTCACACTGTAGCGACCCAGGCAAGTACCGTAGCGACTCGACCAACATTACAACGATTTGACTGACAATGTAGTGGTGGGACCGACACTGTAGTGATCACAGCGAGTACTATGGTGACTCGAATGGATACTGTAGTGATTGACTTTTTTGGTTTGTTGTTTTCTATTCAGCTTTTAAAACACAAAAAGGTATTTTTAAAAGTGAACATTTTTCTTAAAACTCAAAAAATTCTCAAATTCCTAACAAAATTTGAAAATACGAACATTTTTTGGAAATGCGGATTTTTTGCCAAAACATTTTTTGAAAACCATGATTTTTAAAAACATGAACTTCTTTGGAAATTCCAAACATTTTTTAGAAAGCATTTTAAATAAACTCAAATAATTTCGAAATTCCAAACATTGTTTGAATAGTGAACACTTTTTGAAATTTTCGCACATGTTTTGGACGCAATTTTTTTACAAAAATGCAAAAAAAAATTCAAAAACAATTGCATTCCTTAAAATAAATCCAAACATTTTTTTTGAAATTTGTGAAAAGAAACAAAAAAACTGTAAAAAAATCAGTAAAAACAAAAAAACAAAAACAAAAACAAAATCCCAACGGGAAGGTTCCCAAAACCGAGTTATGTAGAACGTACATACAATAGATTAAATGGGACGGCTCATCTCACCATCCTTGTGTGTTTGGTCGATATGCTTTCACACAAAGCGACAAATAGGATTTGCCTTTGTCAAAGACCGTACTTATTTGTAGTCTGTGTCCGCGTCAATAAAATCCATGATTAATTGCGTGCATCTACACAAAAGATTCGGAGCGAGTGACGGCTAAGCTTCCGGGAAACTTCCTCCATGGTGTTCCAGGCTGCGCTCGCTCGCTCGCTCCCTGTCAGGGAATAGACGGACCAAATACTTCACCCCGATAGCAACCCAACCGGGGTCTGGATCTGGAGTGAAGACCATACGGATGGGATGGATCGCCACCACGTATCCTCTATGTGTACGGTGCACTGGGAGGAGGGTAGATGTGGCCATTTCGGGTCCCACATCATGCTACTACTAGCACCCATCTTGGTACCGTACACATGCCACTGACGTTGATGTGCAAAAAAAAAGAGACATGCCACTGACGTTGATGCGCAAAAAAAAAGACATGCCACTGACGCGCAGCACATGGAGGATCAATGAAACATCTGTGTATAGGTCAGTTATAAGGTCAGGCACGGTAAGCAGCGGCCTGCGCGCCTTTTTTTTGTCTAGGAAAAGGAAACGCTCTGGACATGGCAGATGTAGAGCAACTCAACGTTAGCTACGATTAATACAAACTTTTTCAAAGCCGTCGTGAAAGTGCAGTTTCTGGAATTCCTCAAAACGTTTGGCAAATCCACAAATTGTGCTCTAGTGCCAAGTTCGGCTAGCTAGCCCTAGTCAATTGGTCGAAGCCTGCTACCCTACCATGCCATGTTCAAGGAGTTAATGGACTAATACCTTGTGCTGCTTACAACAACATAGGACTATTTGTATTGGAGTTTGAAGACTATAGAGGTAATATCATCCAGAGTCATAGAACTTGCGCTAAATGTTCAGTTTCGTGCTAAAACTTTAAAAATACGGATTTATGGCTATCCAACTTGTGTTATCGTGCAAATACGGTCACTTTGCTCGTATCTAGCCGTATAGCCTGCCCATGTGACGCGCCAGCCTGACGGAGGCCCACCTGTCAGTGGTTAGGAGTGCACAAGGGGTTGGGTGACTCTAGCACACCGTTTTTCTTTTCAGAAAAATCCCTACGTAATTTAGTCAAATATAATGAAAAAATGATGGGGGTAGATTGGGTTCGAACCAGCAACCTGTTTTTTTACGACATTGAACCAACAACCTGTTAATTAAACAATTACATCCATCCCACAAGTGCTGCTCGAAACACTCGCTTCCGACTAATGATGTTCGCGCTCATCGTCATATGGCCGACTCTCCACAGTGCGGCCTGTGCGGAGTCCGCGACTCCTGGCGCCATTCGCTCTTGGAATGCACGTCGTCTCGAAGCGTTTGGGCTCTCATGGATGAGGAGACTACACATAAAATCATAGAAACATCGGAGCCCAAGGCAAAGCAGTGGTTATTCACGCTAATGGAGCTGCTATCTCATGAGGATTTTGTGTTGGTTGCGGTAACTCTTTGGGCCATATAGCACTCAAGGCGTAAGGCGATCCATGAAGCTATATTCCAAAGTCCCCACACGACTTATGGATTCATCACAAGGTTTATAGCCAACCTCGGCATTGTTAACGAGAAAAATCAGAGAGGGGCGGCGACAGTCGTCACACACGATCACGCACATACACGTCCAAGGAAGCCACCAACAAGACACTTCAAGATACATGTGGATGCGGGAGTGACAGGTAGAAAAGGAGGATCAGCTGCGGCTATTTGCAGAGATGAAGAAGGAAATTACATGGGGAGTTCAGCCCTTGTTGTCGAAGGGGTCACGGACCCAGCCTCCCTTGAAGCGATGGCATGCCGGGGGGCCTTGGCCCTTGCAGAGGATCTTGGAATCCAAAACCTGGTGGTGGCTTCGGATTGCCAACAGGTGGTATCTGATATCAACAAAAACGCTAGGGGAACATATGGAGCGATTGTTAGCGAGATTAATCTTAGAGCACCTCCCTTGCACTGTACTTTTGTTTATGAGAGTCGTGCTGTCAATGTCGGTTAGCAAAGTTTTCTTTTTCTAGAGGTCGAGGACGCCATGTCTGGTTTGGTGCTCCTCATGATGTCAGATGTATCCCATTCCAAGTGGACTTCATGAATAAAGTTGGATTTTACCCCTAAAAAAAACCAGTGCTGCCCGATGTTGTACATGCACAACTAAAATCTATTTGATTACACACAAAAGCACGTCAAGTTATTCTAAAAAAAACATGTCAAGTTTGTCCAGGTTAATCAGATAAATAGACGCACATGTCTAACTGGTAATTTAGGGGTGGGGCCACTAGTCGGTGTGATACTAACAACAGGTTAGGCTGACCAGGTAACTAGACTAATCTACACAAGGCCCACCTGTCAGTGGGTCAACCAAAAATTTGTAACTTGGGCGCATGGATAATTCCGCAGGGAAAAAAGGAGCCCGATGGATTCCATTCCTCGACCTCAAGTGTGAAACCGCAGGAGCTAACCACTACACCAAGTACCTATAATTGTCTAAAAGATAAACAATAAATTTTATATTTGGCAATGAAACTACTCGTATTCAGGTTTTTTCTCCCGGACCGAATTTCTGATAACAGATTGGTTACCATAAATTTTTGTGGTCCCCGGAAAACTATGTTATTGCCTGAATTTTTTAATTTAAATGACAGAAACCATGTCAAATATATATCTCTCATATGCATACAGTATCAGAACGACAATGAATTGAACTTGCGATTTTTCAAATTTGAATTTCATTTGAATTTTTTGGCCAAAAAGGTGAGAATTTTTGGAACCGGTTTTCTGGCTGAATGTGGGGATAAATGAAATATAAAAAGAATATGCATCCATATTAAAGAAGGCACATCTCTTTATAGTCACGAGTATGTAGCTAGTGCATGTGTGTATACGATGTCTAGAGTTCAAATCTTCTTTGCGATTAAGTTGTATCCATGTGTGTTATTAAGGGGCTACTGCTTAATTAAATACAAAACAAGGGGTGTTTTTGTAAAATAAAAATATGCGCGCCTCGTTCAAGCTGTTCCCCATCATTGACAATGGGCATAGCCACGCTGACATGCCACATCAGCGCAGGATACGTCTGAATACAAGCAAAGTGACCGTATTTGCATAAGGATGCAAGTTAGATGACCATAAATTTGTATTTTTAAAATTTTAGCACCAAATTAAACATTGAGCGTAAGTTGTATGACTGCATGTGATATTATCTCAATACTCCCTCCATTCGAAAATATAGTGCGCCCGCGCTTTCCGAGGTTCAACTTTGACCATAAATTTAACCAACGGGACCAACTGCGGCGGGAGAAAAAATTATATAATTGAAAACTTTTTTCGAATACGAATTCACTGATATAATTTTTGCTCCCGCCGCAATCGGTCTTGATAGTTAAATTTACGGTCAAAGTTGAAGCACGAGAATAAAGAAAGTACTACATTGTGAAATGGAAAGAGTATTATATTACTACTCCAGTATAGACATGATAGAATTCTACATAGAGAGGTCCCACCCTATGCATCTGTTGTTGTTGTCTACTGCCTCCCGTATCAGTTTCGCACCCTTGATGATGGAGAAGGCACATGTGAGTTACTCCATCGTTCTCAGCTTTCACCCATCGTATAGGACAGAGGGAGCAGTAGTAGTAAAGCAAGACCATCGTCGTTCAGCTAGGGAAACATTAATGTATTATAGAACAAAAAAGTACAGGTGTTGATGTATTCTACTCCTTCCGTTTTTAAATATAAGTCTCTGTAAAGATTTTATTGTGGTCGTATGTAGTTCATAGTGAAATCTTTAAAAAAAACTTTAGGAACGGAGGGAGTAGTAGACAAAGAGTACGAACGGAAGAAACGGCGTACGCGTCCTACATCCAGAACGCTGGAGGCTGGAGCTGGACCCATGCTGGAAACAAGAAACTCAAACAAGGTGGAGGAGAAGAAAGGGAGGGGCGCACTAACCGGCGCAGAGACAGACGACCCACACGTAGAAGAAGTTGAGGTAGGGGATGCCGGTCTTGCTCTTGTTGATCTCGTCCAGCCTGCATCCTGGGCACCCTTCCTTGCAGAGTTTTCTCTCCCTCGCTGCTGCCAGCAATGGCGCCGCCGAAGACTCGTTTCTCTCGCTGGCGGCCATTAACTAGCTTCTCTCTGATGAACAGGAAACGGGATGCGGAGATCAGCTCGGTCGACCTCTGCTTCCGAGAAGTGAAGCAGAAAAACGAAAGGCGCCCGTTCACCTCTGCGGGAGTAAATGGAGCAGTAAAGCGCACAAGGTAGGCGTTAGCGTAGTGAGCATCTGCTGCTTTTAGTGCGAGTGTAGATGCGGGCGCGCCTTGTGGACTGTGGTGTGTTGTTCCTACCTGGTGCGTGGGATGGACAAGAGGGTTTGGTCCGGAAAACCTATAAAAACATCTCCAGCCGTGTCTCCAATAAGCTTTCTTAGGTCATTTTTTTAGTACCGGCGCTAAAAAATGCCCTAATCGCGCCCCCCAGGACGCCAATAAACGCCGGTTCGGCCCTTTTTTCCGCCCGGTGGTCACAGGCCGAACCCGGCGCACTGGGGCAGTTGGGGGTTCCGGCGCAAGGGAAAAGCGCGGCTGGCCCACGCTGTCAGGGGAAAAGTCAAGGTTTTCTTCCCTGACTCGTCTCCCATCCCTCGCGCCCTCGGCCGCCAGTAGCTATATCCCGGCGCCGCCCGCCGCCTTTCACCACTAGATAGTCATTTCACGCTGGAAAAATAGCAGAGCTTCGCCGCGGGAGCCCCTCCAACAGCAGCTGGGCATTTCCGGCCGCGGAGGGGCAGTTTAGCGGCGCGTACATGCCCACCGGGCGCAAGGTGTTCGGTGATTTGCCTGCCTCGGCGATGGACTCGGATGACGAGGAAACGCTCGCCGCGCTGCTGGAGGAGGAAGCCGAGGCCGACGTCCAGGAAGAAGAGCATCTCATGGTGCTCGCCGCCCTCGCCCAGCTGCTGGCGAGCAATGAAAAGCCGCGGCGAGGTGGCTCGGCGCCGGGGCGGGTGAAAGCAAAGAACCAGCATCGTGTCGAAGGCTACTGCATGCTCTACTCCGACTACTTCGCCGATGCTCCACTTCACGACGAGAAAACATTTCAGCGCCGTTATCGGGAGTTCGACAACTACTTCAAGTGCAAGATGGATTGCACCGGCGCCCTTGGATTCACCTTCATCCAGAAGTGCACGACAACGATGAGGATGCTTGCATACGGAGCTCCCGGTGATTCACTCGACGACTATGGGCGCATGGCCGAGTCCACCAGCATAGATTATTTCTACAAGTTCTGTCGGGAAGTTGTGGCAGTGTTTGGACCGCAATACTTGAGAACACCCAATGCGGGAGACGGGATCCTAGCACAGAATGCAGCAAGAGGATTTCCTGGGATGCTTGGGAGCATCGACTGCATGCATTAGAAATGGAAGAATTGCCCATTTGCTTGGCAGGGGATATACAAAGGCGCCAAAGGCGGTTGCAGTGTGGTACTTGAGGCAGTGGCCACACAGAACCTCTGGATTTGGCACTCCTTCTTTGGTATGCCAGGAACTCACAATGACATTAACGTGCTGCAGTGCTCTCCTGTCTTTGCCAAGCTTGTTGAAGGTCATTCTTCGGCGGTGAACTTCGAGATCAATAGGCGGCACTACAACAAGGGGTACTATCTAGCTGATGCCATCTATCCGAGATGGTCGACATTTGTGAAGACGATCTCAAACCCTGTGCCAGGAGGCAAGAACACCTGGTTTGCGAAGGTTCAGGAGGCTTGCAGGAAGGATGTCGAGCGTGCATTTGGTGTGCTCCAATCTCGATTTGCTGTTGTCCGTTACCCTGCTCAGACCTGATCGAAAGATCAAATGTGGGAGATTATGACTTGCTGTGTCATCTTGCACAACATGATTATTGAGAGCGAGCAAGAAGACCCAGTGTTTGACACTGAACCATACTACAGGCAGGGTCCTCTAGCCGAAGTTGATCACCAGCTATCGGCAATCTGGACTGCTTATCTCAGTATGCGTCAGGAGATCTGAGACCCACAGGTGCATCATCAACTGCAGCAAGATCTGATAGAGCATCTATGGAGGCCCAAGAGCGACGCCGGGCGCGACGTGTGATGAAATATGAGTTTTTATTTGTTGAACTATATAATTTGTATTGAACTATTTGTTGTTGTACTATTTTGTTAAAGTATTTGATATTTCTATGATGAAATATGTGATAAAGAAAATTATGTGCATAATTGAACGACGAACAACGGCGAACCACGCCAAATATGAGCCTATTGTCATCCATATGAGCCCTTTATTCGCCAAAATGGGGCTGAAAAATGGACCAATATCGACGCCTGGGGGCAAGCTGGGAGCGACGATGGACGCACAACCGCCCCAGCACCAATTGTATCGCCGGCTCACCCCTAGGGGGCGATTTTTATGCGTCCTGGAGGGCGAATGGCTGGAGATGCTCTGAGACGTACGCTTCGTCATGTTGCCGAGAAATTGCACAGGGTTCACAAGCCAGCGATGACCTGGGCCGGCCCGTTCACCGCTTCATGGATCCCTGTTTTAAGAAACCGTATAGGGGGGTTCCTAGCTGGTTTTTTTTTTTTCTGATTTTAGGAATCTTCTAAGAGGTTCCTGAACCGTTTTTCTTGTCTCTGTTTAATTTTATACTCTATTTTTCATGGTCCTTTTTTCTACTTCTTACTGTTTCTTTTTATTTTTCTTTCCTTTTTTGTTTTTATTTTTCATTTTAATTCTTCCTCAAAAATCGTTCGTCTGCTTAAAAATTGTTCGCAGTTTTTCAAAAATGTTTGTGTTTTAAACTTTTATTCAGGAGTTTCAAATATGTTCATGTTTCCAAAAACTGATCAGGTTTTTAACTTTGTTTGGGAGTTTGAATTTGTTTTTCATGTTTTCAAAAAACGTTCACGTTTTCAGAAAAATCCTATTGTCAATTTTGTTTGCAAACTTTCAAAAAATGTTCCAGTATTTAAATTTCTTTGGGATTTCCAAAAATTGTTTTGTTTTTCAAAAATTGTTCGTGTTTTCAAATTTTATTAAGAGTTTCAAAACGTTTATACATTTTCAAAAACATGATTTTGGAAAAATGTTCACATTCTTAGAGAATTTTTGAGTGAAAACTGTCCAAATTTCATTAAACATTCATTTTACAAATAATCAGATTTTTCATAAACATGAATAATTTTTTAAATCCTGAACATTTGTCCAAAAACGCGAGGAATTTCTGAAGTTTTTGCAAAAGAATGATAAAATACGAATAAGTTCTATAGCACGATCAATTTTCGAAATTTGTACAAAAATGGAACACAAACATTTTTTTGAATTGTGAACGAATTTCAAGTTTGAGAACATTTTTTGGAATTTCGAAGAAAAAGTTCAAAAACACGAAAAGAAAAGAAAAAGAAAATGTTTGGATCTGACGTTGGTCTTGTTCTTATAGGCTTGCACTGCAATGTAATCAATACCTTTCATTATGTACGATGGCTAGCATGGATAGCTTGTTTGCTAGAGGTCTCGTGATCAATGGTCGGTCTCCATTTTTTTGCGAATTTATAGTTGCTACATTGGTCGATCGCCGCTCGCTTCGCTCGTTCGCCAGTGGGCCGGCCCGGTCGGGGCATGTGTGCGTTTGTCCAACAGTCTGCCGCAATAAGCAGCAGATAGGAGCTCCCGTCGTATCGTCAAAGGTGAGACTCGAGCTGGGCCAGTCTAACGCGGCCTGGGCCCGTTGTGTTCGAGCCACAGAAAGGCGGTTGGGCTGGCCCGGTGTGCCTTTGGGTCGTGCTATGCTCAAACCTTACGAGTGGTGTGCCAAAAAGGTAATAAGTAATGTTGGGCAGCCCGTCTCTAACATCACGCCAGTCATAAACGTTTAGTGATGTGATTCCGGTACACGTCACTGCTAGCACATATACTAGCGGTGTGCCCTGTAATGAATACGCAACTACTATGTTGTAGTATTAGTGACGCACACTAGTAATCGCTTGTCGTTCATATTTTTTTGGCCTAACAAAAAACTACCATGACAATACATTTTGTTGTCATGATAGCAATATTTAACATCTTAATCAGTTTTTTTTCTATCATTGCAGCGTTTTTAGCCAAAGGGCTCGTTTTTGCTGCCATGACAACATTATTTAGCCATCGTTGTTGTCATGACAACATTTTTAAAATTTAAAACCAGTATATATGATGTCTAAACAAGTACGCTTAAGTTTAACACTTCAACACTAGTAACATGCATATAACATGAACATGTGCTACTTTAACAATTTTGAACACATGTTCAACACTTCAACCATAATTAAAGACGTTTAGATTTGACCATAGCGTGTTAGGAAATATAGTAGAAAATAAAACATTTCGTCATAATATCAACCAGGAACACTATAAAGATGCAATAACTATTTAGATCGGATCATTACCAACTCTGAGTTGCAGCAGAAGAAGACGAGTTGGCGTACATCGAACATGAAGTCCCTCGAACCGTTCTTGAACAATCCCTCAAACCGAAGACCAAAAGCACAACCTCTCCATAGATTGCAAGCGTACATGCTTAACGATCTGGCAGTGCTTCGCCGTCCACAACTAGTCATTGCCGTAGAATTAGAGGACAGAGAAATGAACCTCACGAGGCATCTCTATTATGAGGATTAGAGAGAACTAGAACTAGATCTAGTCTACATCAAACTAAACAAGAACTAGAACAAGAGAGAACTAGAGGAGGCTCCAAAACATGTGTTCTAGGGGCTAGCCTTGCACCTCTATTTATATGTTGAGACCTGGGGTCGCAACTTGGGAAGGGGGCCTCCCAAAAGTCAGTTTGGAATGCAAGGAAGAGTCCTTGGATTCCAACATGAAAAGCCTAGGTACCTTTCGTTTTCAGAAACGCCACGGACAACAGCATCTGGCCCAAGGCCAAATGGCAGGGACCCTGGCGTTTGGCCCCTGTTCTCCAGAAAAACTCCTTTTGCACCGACCTAAAGCATTGTGGGCCTTACCCCTTGGTCTAGCCAATGTGTCCTCGCACCAGGGACCCTTTGGATTTATCCGGAAGCTTCTGTAACCTTCTGGATATCACCAAAAGTTCCTAGGACCTTCCCGGG